GGCCGTGCTGGAGGATGCTCTGCTCAACGAGGATGTGCGGTTCAAGGCCATTCGCGATAAGCTGGTGACATTCAAGTGAGTCTGTTTTTTATGAAAAACTTCTAATTAGATGAGTAACTAAAACACTGTTCCCGCTTGCAGAGATGGCCGAGATGACCTGACCGATCGGATAGACTTTATTGTCTGTCTCGGTGGCGATGGCACTCTGCTGTATGCCTCCCTGCTCTTCCAGCAATCGGTGCCCCCTGTGATGGCCTTCCACTTGGGCTCCCTGGGCTTCCTCACACCCTTCCGCTTCGATAACTTCGAGGAGCAGCTTATCAGTGTCCTGGAGGGTCATGCTGCTTTAACGCTTCGCAGTCGTCTGCGCTGTGTGATGCATCGCCGGGGCGATAGGAAGCATGAGGCAAAGACCCAGGAGTTGGACCCAGATGGAGATGCACGACCGGCGGCCAACAGCATATTGGTGCTTAACGAGGTGGTCATCGATCGAGGTCCCTCGCCGTATCTCAGCAATATTGATCTGTTCCTGGACGGCAAGTACATCACGTCGGTGCAAGGTGATGGTCTGATTGTATCGACGCCCACGGGAAGCACGGCATATGCGGCAGCTGCGGGTGCCTCCATGATCCATCCCTCCGTGCCGGCCATTATGGTGACCCCCATTTGCCCGCACTCGCTAAGCTTCCGACCCATCGTGGTGCCAGCAGGGGTCGAACTGAAGGTGGGTTTCCAATAGTTTCATATCTTACTTATCATTTACATTTGATTCTGGTTCAGATCTCAGTTTCCCCCGAGAGTCGCAACACCTCGTGGGTCAGCTTCGATGGACGCAATAGGCAGGAACTCTTCCATGGCGACAGTCTGCGCGTTACCACCTCCATCTATCCGGTGCCCTGCATCTGTGCCCAGGATCAAATATCCGACTGGTTCGCCTCCCTCGCCGACGGACTGCATTGGAATGTGAGAAAGCGGCAGAAGTGCCTCGACGAGCTGTCGGATCTCACGGCATCCGGATCGGAGGACACGCTGGACGAGATCGAGAATATGAAATTGTACGATGTGTAGTGCGTAAGTCCCTGTTGCTTATCGTAGGCTAGGGCTTTTAGTAGTAATCTTAGTCCTTTGCCCATGCAAAAAGTCTTTTTATTTAGTGTGTAATTTATTAGTATTTCGAGCAAATGGATAAAGCACATTTCACCCAAAACTCTTAAAAAGGGTTTGAGCTTCTAAGCTATGCTGAAATATTGTACATTTCTGCTGGTTAAAAATAAATGCTGCTAGTAAAACTTAAACATAATTCGAATCTTTTGAATAATTTTAAATTATAAAGCACTTTTTATTATAATATAATACATAAATAATACCATTAAATACTTGTTAACTCTCCTTGTATTCTGCAATAGGATGCAATTGTTTTTTAATATTTTACCAAATTAAGCTTGTGTATAGTTTAGAAAACATTGTCAAGTTCTGCTGTAGATTGATGCCGATTGCAAACTGTTTGAAATGTGTTCTACAACATTGCCTTGTGTAATTCGCATTAGTCTATTCCCCAACACACCTTGCAATTTAGATTACAGCCAGAAAGTAATTCGTATTTAGACTGGTTTTATAGCGCCTCTCCCAGGCCACTTGTTGCTTGTTGTTGTTCACCTCGCGGCTGCCTTTGGATCGGATAGGATTGAATTGGTTTCGATTCGATTGGGCTAGCGTTGCTAGCCACGCACTTGGGCCTGTCAAAAAAGTTAGTTTGCATCGATTTGGGTGCGAATTGAAAGTGTAGCTTTTAGCCGAAGCTGTATGTTTGCCAGCCATTTGCGCCCTCAGGCGTACAAGCTATGTGCATTACACGGCTAAAATCTTGTACCATTGTTTGTTCGCTCGATCGTGTTGTTGCCGTGTGTTTTTGCCTTTTTTGCCCGCCGAATTCAAGGTGTGCGCCGTTTTTTGCGTGTGCGTGCGCCAGGTGTGCGGTGCGTGCCTATCTGGTTGTGCGAAATGCATAAAATCGCGCCGTAGTTGACGACGAACGTTGCCAGCGTGCGGTTGTGATTTAATTGTTCCAAATTGCGTTGGGAAGTGAACATTTGAAATGAATCCCGAAGATATGCAGCGAGCGCAGGAAATTGTCGATGGAGAGGGCTCAACGCCTGGCAGTTCACCAGCACCGCTGAGAAAACCGCTGCCCATTAGTTTGCTGGAAAAGCGAACTCAGTTTCGGTGAGTGATGTGGAGAATGTCCTTGAACTGGACAAGTTTTGAAATTTTAAAAGTGTTACCGCGCCTAAGAGCTGGGTGTTGTAGCAACAAGCTTTTTGACGGGAGTAAGCGCCAGGTCTGGCAACGCCAAGGCATACAATTTTTATTTTTTTAAATTGGCCAACCATTTTCATGTTCTGGAAATAATTTAAAACAGACATCCAGGTTTCCGTGCATTGTTCTAAGCCAGTGTTTAATTCTTTTAAGAAATTAAAAAAAAATATTTATTTTTAAGCCATTTATAGAACAATTTAATTTTTGTAGGATGGGTAATATGTCTTTAAAAATTAAATAAAAATGCACATAAAGTACAGGAAGTCTAGTTAGTGTTCAATTCCAATAAAAGGATTTAAGACACTTTTTTTCCACAAAAAACTTTTGCAAGAAAGAAAAACGTGATAAAAATCCCTTTTTCGGAATTAAGCAATAACTGGACGTTCTATACTTTATGTGCATTTATTATTTATTTTAATTAATATTTATGTTTATTTGGTCATTAAAATTTGATAGTTTTCGCCAACGAAACTAAAGTTTTGAACTTTCGCGCCTTGGTGTGACCGCATAGCAGCCATTTTTCTCATTTTGCCGATTGGTAACTGCAGTATTTTCCAACCCGCGGACAACGGCCACACTGACGTGAAATGGTGCAAGAAAATAACAAATAAAATGGACCTTTCGGGAGTCGCGTTCTCGAAATCGAAAATCAGCAGCTAGTCGGCACTAGCCTTAAACCGGGAATTTGCCAATTGGGAGTTGCAGTCGTTGTCAGGTGCATCGCGTTAGTGGGTCAACCTGAGGCCAACACACTACACAACAACAACACTTACACCCGCGCACATACAGGTGCGCAGATACAAACACACACACACGCGCGCGTTTACAAGTGACCAACACAATGACGTCCTCCTACAACAACATCCCGGCCCATAACACACCCACCCCCAAACCCAAACCCTCGCCCGCCCAAACGGTTCCGAAGGCCACCGGCACCTCCGTGGGCTCCTCCTCCAATGGATCCTACTACGACGACCACGACAATCAGCTGCTCCACGTGAACAGTGGAAGGCAGGGCAGCGCAGCAGCATCCTCGGCCCCGGGTCCTGGCATAAATAACGGCACTGCCAGCGACGACCTCCAGATGCGATGGTGGTGGTAAGTGGGCGGCACTAGTGGTGCCACCAGAAACTGTTTCCGGTTCTCAACTAGATTTCGGTATTTTTCGGGAGGGTGGGAACGGATCTCTCTAACGGGATATCTCAATCAAATGATTCAGCGTAAACATTTAAATTTTTAAATTGTGTCACACTCATTTGGTTTTGCTCAGCTAATTCTCATATATTGATATTATCAGTAATTAAATCAAACACAAACACTTTAGGTATTCAATTGTTCTTAGTCATTAAAACTTTCATAGAAATAATAATTTGAATTGAATACAATAATGGATGGAAATATTAATCTAATGATCCTTACACAGAAAAATCCTATTTAAAAAGGCGTTAAAAAGGACCGTAAATTTAAAGAGAAGTCCTTTAAAAAATACTTGGCTAAAATTTAAACCAAATAAATTGAACATAATTAATTTTACGATGGTTTCAGTTAAAAAAAAAATCCTGTTTAACAAAAACGCAAAACATATAATTGTAAATGTCCAATAACTTAGAAAATTTCTTAAAACATTGTTAGAAAAACAAAAAAACAATCAATAAAGTTTATTACCTTTGTTTTGTAGCTTCTAATAAATATAAAATAATTTTAATTTTTGCTGGATCACCACCTGAATAGGGCAATTTAACAAAATCTGACAATTAAAAAAACACCTACGTATTTAAAATCTTAAAGATTTAATTTTAAACCAAAATTCAAATGCTGTTTATATAAAAACCTCAAGCACACTGTTGCGTAAAACAATAAGGGAAATGTAGCACTTATAATATAAATGGCAATAATTTAGGGCTGGCCGGAAAATGCCTAGCTCTCAAGTAGCCAACACATGTTGTTGTAGTTTGTAGTTTTCTAACGAAATTTAACTTCTGTTCACACGTGTGACAAATGTGAGACATGTGCCAGATGTGGGCCGAAAAAATCGATTTCCTACACTTAATTGCATTCCCATTCATTATTCATTTTTATTTACCAGTTGAACAGTATGAGTTTGCAGAGTTTGCAAAGCCTGTAAAACTGTATTTTAAGGCGCTGTTAAATGATTCAAAAAAATTATTATTTTACACAGTCCAAAGCACCTGAGGTTTTTCTTTTGGCGCTATAAATTGATTTATGGATCTCAGAGCTCATTAAACATTTTTACTTACCAGTCGAACAGTATGAGTTTGCAGAGTTTGCAAAGCCTGTAAAACTGTATTTAAAGGCGCTGTTAAATGATTAAAAAAAATATGATTTTACATAGTCCAAAGCACCTAAAATTTTTCGTATGGCTCTATAAACTGATTTATGGATCTCAAAGCTGTACTTGGTGATTAGGCTGATGCCTTTTACCAATCATAATTTTGTTGAATTTATTATTACCAATTTAGAAGTCACTGGCCGCTCATTACATTTACATAACAGTAACAGTGAGTGTGCAGTGAGCAGTAAGCACTTGTTGCCTGTTTATATTTCTCTTCGATCGCGACGCGTGGCTGCGCTCCGCTCAGCTGTTTATTACCAGCGATGTCCGGCGAAACACCGCCAAAACGATCGACTCGCCGTTCATTGTTTACAATCGCTCGGCTCGTGTACTTTTATTTTCGAATCGGAATCGCGCATAGAAATCGTCCAGTTAAATCACCATTTTGGCGGACCAGCTCAGTTATCTCGTGTTCACCGGGCAAAACGGTCGTGTTCGCGCTGTTTCCATACCTGTACCGCCATCGATCTTCGAGCGGTTTTCGTTTCGAGTCGGTCGTTTACCTGGCGCCGATCGCTGGTCAGTTTAAAGCCGCCGGTGCTGGAAACTTCGCCTTGGTTCGCGCTTGTGCTAAAAAGAAAATAAAACAGATTATATAACGTGTAATTAGAGTACTTTGTTGCCAGCCACTGGTTACTTTTTCTAGCGCAGACATGACTTAGCATTTCTGGGGTCTGGGACCCAGTCCACTTTCGATTTCCTTCTTTAGTCAGCCACCTGGCTATCAATCCGTCAATCTATTGTGGGTTTAGATTATGGAATTACAGTCGAACTTAAGAAGCTTATCTACAAAATTGAACTCAATATATAAGTTTTCCCTAATAATTGAAAATAGATATTTATCCCCTTAATTTCGATAAACATTAAAAGCCAAATGAAACTTTGCCATGAAAAACTTTTGTTTAATTAGGAAATCTCAACTATTTTATGACTTGGACATTCTTCCTAGGCATTTCGTAACTCTATTTTAGGGTTTTTTTTCTTATGTAACTAAAACTTCGTTAAATCGGAAACATGCACTTACACTAATTTGTAAAACTACAGTTGAACTTCAATAGCTCGAATGCCCCAGTTGTGGTCCACTGAATGGATAGATAGTAGATATCTCCCAGCATCGTTAAGCCTAGTTTCAGTACCATTTTCAAACGCTCGCTTAAAGTATCAATATTGAAGCAGTTTTGTTATCTATGAACCCACAAAAGAATTCACACAAATAAAAGTATAATTTTAGCGTTGACCTATATCGTAAAATAAACTAAACCCAGCTTTGTTTTACCTATTTAAATTGGAAGCGAAGTACAAAGAGCAACTACGTTTCCCATAGAGGTAGAATTTAATAACAAACAAAGGTTTGGCATGTACTATAGAAGTTCAACTGTAATACCTGCAGTTGCACCTTTAGAACCTGCGAATTGTTGACGAAAGGCGTCATTTGAATTAAGTTATCGCATGTGTTCGCTGACTTGTATGCACGTTGTGGCCTGGCAGTTCCACTAATCCGTGGTTGCTGTTCCCTTGCCCAGTTTCCGATCCATTGAATGACAATTACGAAACTTAGTTGCTGCCAGTGCGCATTTCGCTGCTTGGCCCGTCCGTTTAATGATTAATTAATTTGTGCTTGTCGCTTATTTATTTCAATTTTCTTTGTGGCACAAGTCACTTATAATTCGCTTTATGTACCCGTCTATTGTCATAGTCCGATTACTACGGATGTAACTGGCGATTACGAGCGGGTGGTGGTTGGTGCCTTCCTTTGTTTGTTTTACAGAAACATTTTCAATGACTTGTACTTACCTTTTTGCTTCCTTATGTCGGTAAAAATAGAAGAGTGGGAAGGCTTTGGATCACGCGATCTCTAGAAACTAAAGATTATATTGTTCGCTAATTCTTATTATGCAATATATTAAATTAGAATTCCAAATGGAAGTGATCACTCAAATGTAACGAATGCCAAATCCGATTATTTTCTGATAAAAGACGAAGAGAGAGGTTGTAGTGCCTTACTACGCCTCTAAAATATGGTTACAGTACAAACTTTTGTTCAATTGTTCTAAGGCTTACATTTTAAATAGAATGTTAGGAACAATTGGGTATTCTGGTAACCTAACTAAATAATTTAATCTGTAATGGTAAATTGGCAAGATATCTCAGTTCTTGTTTGTTGTTTGACTTCTTCAAACCACACACTTTACGAAGACCTCTACAGATACTTCCCCTTCCTGTTAAGTTCCCCATCTTATCAGCCACTTAACAGAATCTTGAAGCGACCTCTGTTAATGAACTGTTGATGGGGCACTTTCGGAAAGAAACCGAAATGATTGAGATCTTCAAGCTCATTACACACACAGGTCACGATTTCTAGATTAATGGCTGGCGATACTGTTATGCCCAAGTGGGTTGCAGAGAGGACGGTTTAATTGTGGTCTAAGTGGACGTTTTTGGATTTTTCGTGTTTGCCTTATTAAAAGGTTGTTGACCAACGTAAAGCAATCACGAACAAAAAAAAAAGATTTAATTATATTTCTCGTTATAAAGCTAACTGTGGTTGTTTAGTACGTTCAAGTTATTTTCAAGCAGCTTTGCGAGCGGATTTCTTGCCAATTGATTTATACTTGACATCGTTATATGGCTAAGCAGGCGATAAAAGTTGGCCAAGTCCAACGCCGCCAACCCCCCGCCGACGGAAGCTGGCTAATGACGCATATTGGGCCTTGTCCCGCTCCTTTCTAGCCAATCGCATCTCTCTCGTTTTTGATGGCTCTTGCGTCAAAGCCGGAACTACGTTTCTGGTCCGTTAGGTTGGCCAGAAAAAAGCGAAACAAAACAAACTATTCGATGGCTAATCACAAATTTATTTTGCACAAATTTCAACAGAAACACAAACCGGTTCATATACGAAAACCCAAAACTGATCGTTTTTGTTTATCAACTTTTACCACGCGCCAAAGCAGTTACCTTTTTATACCCCGCAGAAATGTATTGCATTCTTTTGTTACCGAAATTGTTAACATTGTTAACACCTCTAGCAAAGGGGAGCAAGGTTAATGTTATTTACCATTTGGGCGAATCAGGGTCTCCACAAGGGTGTGGGATTTCATGATCAACCAAGAAACGCCAAGCGAAATGTCAGCTAAAATTTCCCAACCCATTTTCAGTGGAAAAATGTTTTAACAGTATACGAATCTCCTGTGAATTTTTGAGTGATATTTAGTGATTAAAAGACTTGAAAATGACGTGCCTGTCGGACATTGACTTGGCCACCCTACACCAATACCGTCTGGAGGAGCGTTTTAGCTATAAGTTGGCCTGGAGTGGCACTGGCCACCAACAGAACCAGTACAATGATCTCCTCATCCGCCACAATGCCTCGCTGAAGCGCCAGAGAATTATGCAGAACAAGGCCAATATAGCCAGCACCAAGGAAAAGGATCAGACCGTGGCTAGTGAATGTTTGGCCAGTAGCCAGGAGCACCATCTGGCCAAATCCGAAGAGGAACCTGATGACGGCTATTTCGATTCCACGACAAGACGCACGCGAAGCGGCACTTGGCCGTAAGTAATCTCAACTAAACCAAACCGATTCGCAGCGACCTAAATCGGGTGAAATCCTGATAAGTTAAAGAAAACAAACATAACACACTGCAAAAATATTTCAGCCGCACAAAAATATTTCCACGAAAAGGCAATAAAATATATGTAAATTTTGAACTGGATCCGACAATCTCTAAACAAGTTTACTGACTTCCACTTTTTTTTTTAATTTGATTTAATTTTACATCAAGAATAAAAAATCATTTCTTTAGAACTAAAAATGCATGTATGCATTTAATTCAAAATTCTAACTAATTCAAAATTAATTGAATTTTATTAAATATTATTAACTGCAAATAATGATAGAGGTATGTGGCCTGTCAAAACAATTACGTTTCTAAGTCATTAATAATATTTTTGTATGTACTGGCATGAAATGACTTTCAAATTTAAAGTTAAATTTATTTATTCAGACGTTGAGTTCTCCACGAACACCTTGAATAAAAAGTTCTCAAAAACCAGCCAATTATTAAAAACAAGGAAATAAAAAATCACTAGAATAAATACTTAATTTGAAATGACGTATTTTTCCCTCAGTGGGGTTGTATGAAAGTTAACAGGTCGTCGGACATTTGTACGCGGCGTGCTTCGATAAGGAGTGCCGTTTTGTAATCAAGTGTTTACCATGTCGTTGGTGCTTATCAGGTGTGAGAAGTGTGGTGTGCATTTAGGCGCGTTTTGTTTACACAGATCAAATCGGCTAATTATATATGTACAACGAACTTAGTATCAATTTCACAACTGATATTCCCCTATCATCATGACTGAGCAGACCTATTTATCAATAAATCATTTTTAGTAGCCTGTACTCAGCTCTAAAACCGTTGTCTCAGCTCACTTATACCAGGCAATAAGTCCTTGACCTTTCTGCATAGTTCAGCGTTCGTGGCGTGTTTTCTTTTTCATTTTTTGGCCACTTAAAAAACGAGTTTGTTAACACCTCGGTTATTGGTACTACGATGGCGCCGTCTGTTAATTTATGTGTAGGTTTTTGCTTCACTAGCTACTATTTTTTACGGTTTGTTTGGAAAAACTTGAGATGCCAGTTGGGTTTGAAATCGGTGCCAGTTTGTGCTTGACGCCGGCCATAAACCAAAAGCAACAGGTAAATGTATTGAAATGTATTCGAATCGCAACGATAACGGGGTGACAGTCGCCCGTGACCGATTCGCGGTGCCGAAATCCAAAGGTGTGCAGGTCATGTGGCTTTAACCGCATTTGCATGGCTTGTCAGAGCCTCAAATTGATTATATAGTAGGCCCCTCATTAAAGACTGCGGTAAATTAAAAATGATTCGGACTTTAGGTTTACAGGAAAGTCAATAATGTAAGGTATTTTAAAGCAGTGTCATGCTGACATTGCATGCATATCTATCTAGCAAATTAAGTGCTTACTTAAGTCATTTGGTTCTCTCATCGAACTTTCAGTTTAGTCGGTTTTTAGAAGCGATCGAGCATGTGCGTTTAGCGGGCGTTCACTGTGAAAATGTCGCGTAAGTGAATGAATGAATCTGAATTTCCTTTGAAGTCATTATCATGATTAAGTCAATGGGGAAACAAGATCACCTTCTGTCAACACATCTTCCTGCATCAGAACATATGCGTCATTTTAACGTAATTTCCTTTCGCCCAAGTTTTTGTCATTGTGCCTTGTCTCTAAGTGAGTCAGACAATGGGACTATCTGTGTGTTTGATGAATAAAATAATCACAAGGAATTGAAATTGTTTTTTGGATATATAGAAAGTGAAGGCGAAAGTGTAATAAACAACTTAAGGGAATTTTCATTCAAGTTATTAAATTTAATATTATTATGATATTTAATATACTTTTGATATCATTTTTATTTCCAAAAACTATGAAGGATATTTTGGCAGTTTGTGTGAGGTCTCCTCATTTTTTTGTTAAGAAAATAGCATAAGCATTAAAGATTTTCAGCTCGTGTTAATTGTGTTTTAATTGCAAAATTGTATATGATTTGGGATGAAAGTCAACAATAAGCTTGCCATAAAAACTAGGGAACAATTTATTTTAGGCTGCCTCTTTCAAAATGTTGTAGTTTCTGGTTTTTAAAAACGATTGACAATTATCTTTTTAATCAAATTGTTTTGAATTTATTTGATTATTATATAGGAGATTTATTTAGATATATTTAATGTTAAATTAAAAAATGTTTGGAATACCTGGCTGTACCTGTACCTGTACCTGAACCTGGCTTTTTATATTTACTTTTTTTTGGATTGAAAGCTGCTTATGTCGCCCATTGTTCTATATCTTTGGTGTTCATGGTTCAGTGGTCTAGTTCTGATTCTGCCTAGTCTATCCTACGGCTCATTTATGCTCTCCGCTCTCTCTTGCGTCTCTTTGTGCTGAGTCATCGCATATTAGCACATCAATCAAAGCCGTTAACTTGCGATGCGATGCGATGCTTATGCTCAGCACCCCCGCACTCACACAGACTCACAGACAGAGTTCAACAGCAGCAGCGCTCTCCCACATTTTCGCTCTCTTGGCCATCTTTTCCACTCTTCCTCTCTATCTCTCTCTTGCTCACTCTCTCTCTCTCTCTCTGTGTGTTAGCATGTGCAATTCCTGTTTGTTTGGACCGCAGATTCAACAAGTTTATTTGCGCTGCTACGTGTTGTTGTAATGAAAACAAAAATATAAATTCGTTATATACACATACCTTTATTTTGTGTTTTCGAACACCAAATTGGCCTGTCAGTGATTTTGTAACCTTCGAGCGAGGAGCAGTCGCGCTCGCATCGAAAATTCCAACAAGTTTTTGTGCTTAGTGCTAACTAAGAAGGCTACTATAAGGGCGTGATCGACCATTTCAAAACAGTTAAGAACTTAGCGCCATGCAGCACCAAAAGTTGAGACTAGCGCCGGCCTTGCAGCGCCAGATTTCCGAGGTCGAAGAGCAACAGGTGACCCCAGTGGCGCCCAACCCACGTATTTTGAGGTGTATTTTTAGTAGAATTCATCCACTGGGAATATCTTTTATAACCCGATTTTCTTCACTTCACTTTCATTTTGCAGGCGCACTAGGAGTCTGAATGCTCCGTCGCCGTTCCAGCAATTTGGACCATGCGGTCGCATTATGAAGAACTCTGCCATGGTGATGCAGATCCAGGATCCGGCCAGCCAGCGTTTGACCTGGTACAAGCCACCACTCACCGTTCTGGTGATCAAGAAGAAGGACTCCCAGGTCCTGCTGCCCTTCGTCCAGCTGGTGGAGTGGCTGGTGCAGGAGAAGCGCATGGTCGTCTGGGTGGAGTCCGCCGTCCTCGAGGACAAGCTGCTGCGGGATGACGTCAAGCTGGAGCAGGAGAGCTCCAAGTTCCGACAGGTGCACGACGACTACGCCGGAGTTAGGGCGCGTTTCCTGGCGCTGCGCGAAAAGTTGGTGACCTTCAAGTGAGTGGCGGGAATTATAATATTAATGATTTCACTTGGTTGGGCTTTTAGTCTTAGTACCCTAACGCTTTTTTTAAATACCTCATTTAACAAGTAAAAAACAACTTGTAATTTTTTATAATTAAACTTTATTAAGTGTTTAAGTTCTGTTAGGCATCTTTTAGGCAAGTGTTTTTAAGACAATGTTAGCCTTAGACCCGTGCACTCAAATTTTAACACATTCCCGGGTTCTCCGGTCGAACCGACTCTTTTGGCATTGATAAACTAACGCAAATATTAATTTTTGGACTTAATAGAAAATATAATTTGTTAGTGTTGATACACTTGGTTTCATGAAAACAATTTAAGAAATATTAATTCAAAGTTTTATAATCGACGCGATGTGTTTGGGGCTTTCGATATATTCCTTGTTGAGAGTCGATCTGACCCATTACACGGGTTTAAGATTTATGTTATACAAAAAACCATCGAGTATACGCAGTATACATGTAGCAGTTTAATTTATTGACTTAAATAATTTAGAGGTATGCAGACTACAATGTAGTTGGATGATCTTAAGTTTTATATTCATAAGATCGTCTGGAACCTTGTCATCTAAAAGCATTAGATAGATGTTGACGGATTAATTGGTAGTTCAAATTCTATTATTTTAATTTACTTGAGCTTGTAAAATCCGTGTATTAAAAATAGCATAGCATACATAAAAAGTAAACAAAATAAAAATCTTCACAGCTAAAGAAATTTAATAAATCTCTTATCATTAACTTTGCAGAGATGGCCGCGATGATCTGACCGATCGGATCGACTTCATCGTCTGCCTGGGTGGCGATGGAACGCTGCTTTATGCATCGCAGCTTTTCCAGCAGTCCGTGCCACCGGTGATGGCCTTCTATTTGGGTTCTCTCGGTTTCCTAACGCCTTTCCAGTGCGACAACTTCCAGGAGCAAGTGACCAATGTCCTGGAGGGTCATGCCGCCCTCACGTTGCGCAGCCGTCTGCGCTGCTCCATCCATCGCAAGGGTGAGCGCCGCAAGGAGTCGCTGCTGACCGCTGTGGGTGGCAATCTCCTCAAACCCAGCCTGCACAGGCAGCTCAATTACGTAGAGCTCAACAACGGACAAACAGGGAAATCCGGGTGCAACAACAACAATTGCCCGAATAACAGCATCCTGGTGCTCAACGAGGTGGTGATCAACCGAGGACCCTCGCCGTATCTGAGCAACATTGATATCTTCTTGGATGGCAAGTACATAACCTCGGTGCAGGGTGACGGCCTGATCGTATCGACGCCCACGGGAAGCACGGCATATGCGGCAGCAGCCGGTGCATCCATGATCCATCCCTCCGTGCCGGCCATTTTGGTGACGCCCATCTGCCCGCATTCGCTGAGCTTCAGGCCCATTGTGGTGCCTGCCGGAGTGGAACTGAAGGTGAGTTTGGCATATTTTTTTACAAACAACTCTCAAAAAGTTTTGATTTTGAGACGATCTTTCTCCGATAGAAATAACAAAAACAAAACTAAAGCTTTATACAAAGATTTCATTTCTGTAAGTTCCAGCTAAACAAGTTTGAAAGTATAGAATGCCTTTAATTTCTTAAAGTTCAATGTCAAGTTCACTATCTAATGTTGTTTTTAAGATTATCGGTTTTTAATCGAGCACATTTTATGACTCAACCTAATTAATGTGGACCTCGGCTAAGTTGTGAATCATGCTTTAGAAGGGGTCGCAAAACTACTAATACCTTTCCTACAATATCATCAATATAGTTAAATATCCAAAAAAGAACGGATAACTAATAGCTACCTATTGCTTTTGCAGATATCCATTTCACCTGATAGCCGCAACACCTCTCGGGTGTCCTTTGACGGACGCAATGATCAGGAGCTGAACCACGGCGACAGCCTGCGGGTGACCACCTCCATCTATCCCGTGCCCAGCATTTGCTCCCAGGATCAAATCTCCGATTGGTTCGACTCCCTCGCCGAGGGTCTGCACTGGAATGTTCGCAAGCGCCAGAAGTGCCTCGATGAGCTGTCGGATTTGACCGCATCTGGGTCGGAGGACACGCTCGATGAGTTTGACAACCTGAAGATCTACGATGCGTAGTAGTACCCCCATTCGCAGTTTGTTAGTGTGGCCCATTAGCCTAGTTATAGTCCTAGTTTATAGGGTTTGCTTGTGTGCAATTTTGTAGGCTTAGTTGACTAGCGAAAATACTCTGTTGTACTATACACATCATAAGTCGCTTGGTTGAAATGTTAAATGTTAATTGATTACTATCGCAATTTTGGTTTAAGCTAGGCAAATTCCGTTGTTGCTTGTAAACAAAACACAAAAAAAAAACGCTTAGGCTTAGTTCTTAAGTTTTTATTATTACGTAATCTACAATTAATTGCGGGGAGTGCTTAGTACTTAAGCTGTCTCGCGTATCTGTACAATTCAATGGAGATAATAAAAACTGTATTATTTACTTAAAGCGCCACAAAATCCAATCTGCTTGTATTTGTTGTGTATTGTGGCCGAGCAACAGGCAAATAAAAAAGCAATTAAGTAGATGAGCGGGGTGGTGTGTGGCCAGAACAGAAGCAATCCGGAAAGACACTTAATAGGAAAAGGCTTTCAGAGAAGCAGAATTAATGGACGGGCAATTGGTCAATGTCTAAGGATCTGACCAAGAAGATGAATGGTGCAAAAAAAAAGGAGTGCGAATTAATCATAAACTGTCTTCTCTGTCATGCTTTTAACAGATTTGGCATGGTTTTCAGATTATAACCAAAGTTCATCTTAAGAGTGGTACCAATTTTAGTGTTAGGCCTGAAAGTATGCCTTACTATTTTGATTCTACAGTAGTGAATGATTGTGATATTATAGCTAGCCGAAAACGTCTGTTTTCTGACAATTTCCTAAGTGTAAAAGCCGCGCCATAAATCAAAAGCATAACATAAAAGCTGGCAATAAATGTGACTAGAAGTGTTCTATGCCACCACAGCCCTTAAATGCTCGTGCGAGTGTATGTACGTGCGAAGTGCGTTTATTATCAATTTTCACGCTTTTCCACGTTCTTTTCCCCTGCTCACTTGGCGAGCAACAAGTGAAGAGCCGAGTGACTTCCACAGCTTCCTTCTGCTTCGGGCTTTTCCTCTGACTGGCGGATAAAAGCAATGCGTATTATCCGAGCCACACGATTGGTTGTCCTTGGCCACGCCCCCTTCTCGGACACTGCGCAGGACACGTCCTCCGTCTCATTTATATGCAAGTGGCTCTAAGTGAAATAAATGGCTTAAAGCACATTAAATTAATTTTTCTTTTATTCGTAAGCCGTTTCCTATGTTTGTCTCTATACTCTAGTTTAATCCCGCTTAATCGGGTCAAATTTAATTCCTTAAAGTTTAGAATCTTTAATAAAACAAGATACAAATTTAAGCACAGACTAGTTTGGCAGCTACAAAATAAAAAGCATAGTTACAAATAGAAAGGCCTTACAATAATCTTATATCATAGACTTCCTGAATACCATCAATAGCTTCAGTATTTATAGATACTTTTCCATAAATCTCTTTTTGGAAAATTCTATATGTTATATGGTATTCTTGAGATATTACCTGCTGATGGGTGACTAAGTGCCCGGCTAGCTCAGTCGGTAGAGCATGAGACTCTTAATCTCAGGGTCGTGGGTTCGAGCCCCACGTTGGGCGAAACAACTTTTTTTTTAATATTAGTTTTCCTTTTTTTTTTGTGTAAAAATGAAAGAACGCTGTATTTGAAGTCTCCACATTAAAATGTTATAGAACATGTTGAATATCTAAAAAACGATGGTTTATTTTGAGCTAGCAACATACAAAATTATTTGGAATATGGTCGTTCGTAAAGCTCGAAATCGTTTTTCCTCCCTGTAACACAATTCTGAAGGAGTACAACAAACTTTTTAAGCAATAATCTTTACAATGAATGCTAATAAACTTATTACAATTTATTTATTTTCCAAAGCGCTGATTAAATTAACATTTCCGGTTATGATAGAAAAAATTCCTTGAATTAGATAGACAAAAGCTAACTCAAATTAATGTTTTAACAAATAATGTAAGTACTTATAATTTAGGGATATTTACATATTTATGCTAAAACCTTTTAAAGGATCGGTCATTGATTCACTTTCACTGCCGAGGAACAAAAAAACTCCATCAGCTTAGTCAGCGTCTATTCATTTCGCTGCAATATAAAAGCGCAATAATAAATTCAAAATATTTGCGGAATTTCTTAATGAAGTCGGGCTCATTCTCCACTAAGACAAATGCCAAGCGGTAAAAGGCGAACACAACTATGCGAAAGCAGGAGCTAAAGCGGCTCTGAAGCTGCTGTGGATGATGTGGCACGTGTTGATATTCCAATTGAATGCCACCAAATATGCGACACCCCCACAGTACTCTCTAGTATCATCCCCATGCCACTAGGGAAATGGAAAAATATCTCCACCACAGGCATACTCACACGAGTCGGGTGACATTTGAACTTTGGCTGGGGCATACTGGCACTCGTCGTCCTTTTAAATAGATTTCGCAAATGCTAATGACAGCTCAAGCTCGAGGATTGTGTGTAGCATTTCAAACAAAAGGAAATTAAACATTTGCAGCCGAATGGGTTTTCCGGTTTCCTTTTTCCCTCTGTTTTCTTTTCAATTGTGATAAAAACTTGACCACAGCAGAGCCAGAGATATTCATCGGAATGACCCGCATCAGCATTTGAGCCACATTTGTCATCGATTTAACCCCCAGCATGTGAAGTTAAGCTGTCATATGTGGCAAATTCAATTTGTTAGGCTCGAAAAACGAAATGGGCCTTTTAAGCCCCTTTTAATCCTCTCCCAAAAGCATTTCTGCATTTATTGTATTATTTAATGCCATCAGTCCTGGTCGATTTCTAGTCCATTAACTTTGAAGTTATTTTGACGTCGCCACTTTAACACTTCAATGAAATTCACCACCTTTTTTTTATGGCTCCATTGTAGTTGTTGCTTTGGCGGCGATGCTATTTTCCCCCGATTTTCCCCAATTGAAGAGTTTCACACAAAGCATGTGTTTGAAATCGATTTGTGAGTGGTTGGTTTCGTTTTGGTTTTAGTTTTCGTTTTGAACTTTTTAAGTAAAGAAAGCTTTTATTAAAATTGGTAACATTTGAATGTTTAAAAAATTGAAAGCAATGTAACAAAGATTTATACGATTTATTTTCCTTTCCAAAATAAATATGATTAAGTTTTTTTTATTTTAAATATTTTTAACAGAGCTTTAGTTTATTTATTTAATATCTTAATAAATTCTTTGTTACAAAAATCCATACACTCTAAATATTATTTTTTTTATACTTTTCAATGATTAGGTTTAAGGAATTTAATTTTACAAAATTTTTATTATTACTATTTTATTGATTGAATTAATGATTTATTGAAGACGAATATATAAATATAGATATGTATATTTATAACATTTTTTTAGAGGCCAACCAAAATGATTTATAACAGAGCTGCAAGATGTACACTGTAAATTAATTACCAAAATTTTGTCAAAGCTTGCCAATTAATGCTGCCAATCTTGGAATCCCAACCATATCAATTTAAATATTATCCCAGATGTTTGGTTTATATTACTTGTCTAGACAAACGAATTTTGTATCCATAAAACATAAGTCTACATAAATTATCATATTATCTCCTATTAAATGCCAAATGCCTTCCAGATTGTAGAGCCTCTTTAAGATAGGTTTCTTAATAAACCGAAGTCACCAATCTCCACATTTCCGACTGTTTTAGCCGGTCAATCTGTTTATGTTTTTAAATTGCCTTCTACTCTTCACATTGTTTTTTGTTTTGCTGTGGATGCCAGGCTTAATATCTCGACTACAATATGCAAATTTGGGACCCTAAACGTGATCGCAAAACTACACCATCATCGTAAATGCTTATAAGTATTTCTGGTCCCGTCCTCTGACTTCGGTTTCTGCCTCTTTCCCAATCTTCGATTCAGTCGCGTGTCGTTTTCCAATCGCTGCGGTCTTTGTGTCTCCGCATCCGCATCTTTATCTGACTGTTGGCCTTTGTCGCGTGTCTCATCCGGCTGGCTGCATAAATTTACAACAGTTTAAATGGATTAATTGAAAAGACCTATGGGTAAGTGGAATCGTTCAGGCTCACCTCGAAAGTCCATCAGGTGGTTTCAGTGTTCACAGCCTGCCTGCCGGCAAAGAATTTACACCGGAAATTGGTTAAATCAAGGCAACAACACGTTTGACTTCACACTTACCCTAAGGCCAATGTCCCAAAGGATATTCAACACACCTGTTACACCTTGGCTTGACAAGAAAACGCAAATTGTGTTATGCTTAAGAATGCGTGCACGCACTGCAAATAAAAGTCACATGTATTTCAAATATGTTAATTTAAAAAGAACATACTTTGGATGATATAAAGTAAAACCTATGCGTAGGAAGTTTCCTTAAGTTTTTAATTTATTTATTTAAATGCTTATTTAGCATCTACAAAAAACATCTATTTCAAATGACATTTAATAAATTAATCTAAAATCTAATCAACAGCAAATGCTCAGACTTGGTTTTTAAATATTACTTACCAACCAATTGTCAATCTTATAAACTGAAGCAAAAAAGTTGAACATAATTTTGTAATTTTATCACAGGGTATTCCCATTTAGCTGCCTTTAAGACTTTTAAAATTTGACTTGCGCTAAACGCAAAAACCATTGAAGATGCTTTTTCTTGTCCCCAAAAATTGAGTTGCCACTTAGGAGGCAAAAATCAATTAGGCATAATATGCGTGTGCCCTCTAGATGGCAGGCAACCCCGAAACGCGTTGCATACTTACAGGCGTAGCGAATATAAAATCAAACACAAGAAGAAACGCACATACATCCCCAAGCTCACCAAATGTATATGGAGGGCCAACACAATGAAGGCAATTGAGCAGAATCATTGCCGTTGGCAGTTTCCATCAATATGCAGGAGGCAGGAGGAGAAAGTCAGGGAGAAAGTGGGTTGAAAAGTGGGGGAGTTGGGCCGGTACGGATAACGTGAGTGTACTACTGCAACAGGCAGCAGACAACAAGTGGCAGCGCTGCCAGCGTAGTCCTTCTTCTCCCCGTCGACTTTCTCCCGCTCCTGAGGCACTTGCCACAAGACCATCCACATCCTGGGCGCAGTCGTCCGCCGTCGACGTCGCCGGCGCCTCGTGCGCCGCTGGCCAGCGCATCTCCGTTCAGTGCGAGATGAGATCTCGTGGCTGATGGACGTGCCCGTTTCCCACGCTCGCAGTGCAGCCTCAGCACCAGAACAGACACTTGTGGCACCCACTCACAATCAGTTACCGTTCTAGCAGTAGTTTAGTTTGGCCTAAGCAACAAAATCACACTTGAAAATTCCAACAAATGTGCGTATAAGACCGTGTTTAAATTGCAAAACGTTCAAGCACCAAGCAACGGGCA